TTTCTTTTAGTAGAAGGTAGTTTTATTTTAGGGTAGAAACATATGTCAATAGTTAGGTTGGGCTGAATAAAATTGAAAACATTCAAATTGTGATTGTGTGGTGTGCTTATTGGGTTATTGTGGTAGTGCTCTTTGTGTTGGAGGGATAGTTGGAGCTTAAAATTAACCATTGGCCACAATGTGTTTGTTAAAATGCCTCTTTGGAGGAAGTGTTGTGACCATTCCGTGGTGAAGTCTGAGTAACCACATTTTGGTCACCTGATTGAATAGAACTGACGCTGGACTATTTGCAGGTGTCATGGCTCCTCGCAAACGCCAAGCAACAGGTTCCTCTTCCAGACGCCCGGCTACAGCCAACACTGGGGGAAGGCCTCGAAATCCAGAGGTTCCAAGGCCCTTCAACAGTCAAAAGTTCGTGTCCGCCAAAGCACAGGACATGTTTAACAAAAAAGGGTCCAAAACAATTGTGCCGGAACAGGCCATGGATCCCAATGTACTGGGGACTACCTACCCAAATATACCATTTGAATTGAGGCGCAGGAACCTGGACATATTCTTTGAGGAGCCGATAACTGCCAATGTTATGCTTGTTGGGAATTCTATGCGAATCTTCCAGAACATGTGGACTACACGGTCACAGTGCGCAGGAGACCGGTCAATGCTTCTTTGGAGATTATCCGGACTCTATACAGGCTGCCTCCACTACCTCGGGGGTACGAGGATGCATACCAAAATTACAGTGGAAAATATACTTCCTGGTCCACATTCACCGACACTATCTGTCAGCCGGGAGCCACTCTTCAGTGGTACAAATATGGGAATAAGTTCCACTCCTCGGCCCTCAAGTTTGAGGCCAAATGCTGGTTGTACTTTATCAATAGCCGACTCCTACCCTCAAAGAACCTGTCAGAAGTGAATATCCCTCGAGGGTGCCTCATTTGGTGCTTCATGAATAATGCTCCATTTGATGTGGCCAAGGTCATACACGATGAAATGTTCCAGCAGGTCCGGGTTCAAAGATATGGGTTATACTACCCGTCTCTGGTCACCCGGTTGTGCCTTCAAGCCAATATGCTGAGTAACCTTGGTTTAGATGGACGAGTTCCTGTGGTCCATCCCTTCACAGCTGAGAGGGTCACTACGAGCAAGGAAGTGGTAGCCGCTGAGGAATTGATTGGCCATGATTCTGATGATAGTGATGACGCGGAGGAGGAGGTACAACAACAGGTAGCTGATGCTGAGGAGATTGTAGGTGATGAGCAGCCAGCTCAACCACATGCTGATGATGCTGCAGGTCCGTCTAGGGCCAGTCGGGGACAACGGTTAGACCGCATGGAGCAGGAGGTTGCTGAAATACGGACCTCAGTATCTAACCTGGGGACACGTGTTGATGAGATGGCCACCCAACAGAAGAAATCTGAAAAACGCATCATGGGTTGGCTCCGTGCATTGGGTCGGGAGTGCAATGTTAACGCCGGCTTTGTCTTCGACCAAGATTGAGCAGTCAGGGAAGTTCCCCATCCCTTCTTTTGATTTAATTGGCCATGAGGACATGTCCTCAAATTAAGTGTGGGGTGGGGATAGGGATACTTCATTGTATTGCTGTAATTGTAACAATTAACTGTTTTTCTTTCGTTCTTTGATTGTTTTGTCTTTTATTGTGTTAGTGTAGAGTAGTAGTCATTAGGTCAGTGAACATAGGAAATGACTTGTCCCGATGACGGATTTCTTTCGACGGGGTTCTTGAGGGACTAAGTCGAGAAAAAAAAATACAAAAAGATTTTTTTAGTTAGTTGTAGGTAGTGTAACAACTCCCCCTTGGTTTTTCTTTGGGCCTCGGTTCTTTTCCAAGGGTTTATCTTGAATCGGGTATAGGTAGTTCGTTGTTTTTTTTTGTTTTTTTTGTTTGTTTAGTTGTTTTAGGTTAAATGGGCTACGAGCTAGAAATAGAGTGTAAAACCCTTAGCGTTTAGACACCTGAACACGATAGACACTAGAGTGTAACGCTTAGCTTCAAGGGTTGAATCTTGTGAAGTGCCTTAAAAATTGTATGTTTGTACCTAACTTGAACACTCAAGAAGAGATGTCTTGATAAACTAATCCAGAGTGAGTCACGTGCCATATGTGTGTAAGTCTTACTGTGTTCCATGCTTTACATTTGATGCCTAGAACTTGCCATGTGTGTTTGCAAAACGAAATAGTAGCTTCATTCAGTTTTAGAAAGGATATAGGCACTTCTTTGTTAAGCCAGATATATAATGTAAACCCACCTGAATACATCACATCTTAGTTAACCCCGTTGAGCTTATAAGCATGTTTCTTTGGCAACCACATTGCAAACCATACCCAATTGTTTGAATAGCCTGCTGTTTGAACCCTCCTTCCTCTCACTAAGCACTAGAATGGTATTGAAAATATGCAAAAAGCAAAAGTGTGAGGTGGTGGTATGGTTTTGAGTGGAACCATGGAAATAAAGAAAAGGTGCAAAAGGTTGAAGCATAAAAGGAGAAGCACCACGAAAAAAAGAAAAAAAAATCGCACCTAATGTACGGGGATGTTTAAATAAATGTGGGGGAGTGTTAGCTGACAAAATAATGATCTTGAAGCTTAATGTAATTGTATTAAAGTGCTTAGGGAGGTTAGTCACTATATCCGTGTGTCTTTTTATAAGGCATAGTTTGGCGTTATCACGCACTTTCTAAATAAGTCATTACATCCGTAAGAGAATGTAAATAATCATATTTACATAAGACATGAATTATATCTAATTGAAAGACAACCAAGTGCATGTTATAGAGAATTAGTGCATCTCTAATTGTCAGTGGCAAACATGACCAGTTCTGAATGAAAATGATTATCTTTGAAAAGAAATCAATCATCCACCCCATCAAAGCTAAGCTAAAGAAAGATGCAGCAGCAACCCCTCGTTGCTGGGTGAATTTGATGGGAAGAGAAAATCTAAGAGTTTTTCTTATTGAAGGGAATGGAGGAATTTAACTAGTTTGGATAGTATAGGAATCTTCATTAATATGAGAAAACTAAAAAGGTTTTATGTTATCAATAGTTTCTGAAACGTAAAAAGTTTTAGAAATAATTCTTTTCACCTTCCTCCTTTAATTCTGCAATGTGTCACGTGTACACCATGTCAATCATAACATGACTTGCAGTCAAAAGTAACAATAGTTTTTAACTGTATATATATCCTAAAATGTTTGTTGAACTTATATTATATACAGAGTTATGTATAGTTACGATTTTATTACTCCGTCTCATCCATTCTAAGTGTTTTTTAATATTTTAACTAGACACAGCCAATCCAAACATGGATACTGATACAGAAATGACCCTTATTCCCCCGAACAGCCCGACATTACCACCGATGATACCCCCCAAAATTTCTGGAAATCAACAAACTACCTTTAAAGACAAATTAATTAGGGGAACGAAAGAGACGGATATCATAATTGAAACCACCGTCCCTTTATTCAATGATGCTCATACCCCCCTTCTCGTCAAGGCATACATATGATAATACTTCTGGAAAAAGAAAAATTATCCTCTCACAAGAGGATAGGAACCATATGTATATGCCTTGGAAATATTCCATAATCATTAAATTACAAGGCAAACGAATTCTTCACCAAATACTTAAAAAAAAGGTCCAGGAACTGTGGAAAGTAAATGAAAACTTTCCTCTAATTGATTTAGGCTCAGATTACTACATTGCAAAATTTCAAAAGCAAGAGAGCATGAATTTAGTCCTCCAAAATGGACCATGGTTCATCTTTGGTCACTTCCTATCCTGCCAAAGGTGGGAACCTAATTTCGTGGCATCTGATGCAAAACAAATATGCACTGCTGTTTGGATCCGTCTCCCAAATTTGCCTACTGAATTTTATGACGTGATCATTCTTCAAAAGATTGATAACTCTATTGGGAGACTCCTAAAAATTGATGCTTGTACATCATCAACCTTGAGAGGGCGCTATGCTATACTTTTGTGTGGAAGTTCCAATAAACAAACCAGTGGCTAAATTCATATTTATTGAAGAGCACAAACAAATAATTGAATATGAAGGGGATAAAATTCTGTGTAAGAAATGTGGTTCATTAGGACACGCCTTAGGCCAATGCTCTATCATATTAACTCCACTGTCCCAGGTGGAGAATAATAAAGAAAGAGCAGTACAACACCAAGGCCCTCAAAGTTCTGACAAATCAAGAAATGAAGATGACTGGCACACTGTATCCTTTCAAAAATTAAGAAGATCAGATAGGAGAATTTCAAAGACAGGCAAGGAGTCAGGTATTAATGTTAAAATATTCAGTGCCTCTACAGGTAAGTATATCAATACCCAAAAGTTAAAATTTGTCAATAAAGATCCTAACTCCTTGTCATCTAGAAAAGGTAATATGCTCCATATTCGTATGGCTAATTCCACCAATGCCTTAATGGAAGGTAAAACAGCTGATTTTCAGCTGAAAAACCGCTTCTCCAAGTTGTGCAATGAGCACACTATTTTGGACTCTAACCCTCCAAAAAAAAATTCTTTATTATTAAACAATAATCTCGACATGCAGCAGTCCAGTGGTACATTGGACACATCATTTACTACTAAGAGTGATAATACCTCTACTAAACCTATTAACCTTATCCCAAACATTTCTTCTAGAAACAATAATCCTAGTAATTTAACTAGTAACCCTATTAACACTAGAATTATTAGCTCTAATGACATGACCAATAAAAACAAAAATACTACAAATTCCAACCCACACCTGTCCACTAAATCGTTACTGAATGAACAAATGGAGGAAAGCATGCGATATGTGGCCAAACCTTGCCATGCAAAATCTTCTCCTAAATCTTCTTCTATATCTCTTACGCTAACCATTACAGATTGCATGCATGTAGATGCAATCATACCCTACTCTTCCATTGAACAACAGGAGGAGATACAGACTTATTCAAATCCTTCATCCCCCAAGACCAGTGAACATGGCAAACCTTCCACCACTACCAAATCAACTTCCAAACAATCCAATAATCTATGTTCAACCGCCATTGCCACAAAGACCATCACCCACTGTCTTGGATAGAGATAGGACTTATGGGGAGGGGTCTTATGTTCAATGCCACAATCAATGGGCAGGAGAGTGTAATACTGATCCAAAACCCACGTTATCTGGCTCAACTAGTGTCCGAGGGTCTTCACCTTGCTATGAGAAACTACATGAATCACGTCTGGGTGAACAACATTTTACAGCCCTTAGCACCAGCAATGAACCCAAACCTAGTGCAAGAGATTAGAGCCCAGTGGAACCTACCTCCCCATTTCAATCCAGTTTCTATTCTACCCCAGAACTTGGGCCTAGACCTCCCCTTCTTTCCACCAGAAGCCCTAACTTCTATAAATCCGATATTGATGCAGTGGGAAGCACCACAACACCAACAACACCCACAGAACCCCAACATGCAAATCCCAGTGGAAGACATCAATCTCAATCCTCCAGTAGCTCTAAATGTAGGCAACCCAGTGGAAGAGGAAAAGATCGATCCAATAGATTTTATAGGGGAATCGGTGGTGGAATTGGGAAACCTAAACGAGGTAAAGGTTTTCTTATTCAAGAAAGATCAACAGAAGAGGCACATTCTCTTTTGTCCCCGGAATCTATACAAGTGTGCAATGGACATTCATCCACCACATGACCCAACTGTGGGAAACAAAGCAATGATCCTTGTGCCATCTCTGAGGGGGAACTCAAATCCTGCCAGGGAACGAGTGGAGAATGGTTAAAACCCAACCCAAACTGCTAATATGTTTAGTCCCACTAACTTCATTATTTGGAATATTATGGGAGAAAATAATGAGGATTTTAGAAGGAACTTTAGGGAGCTTATGGTTCACCACAGGCCATGCATGGTTACTCTACTCGAGACGAGAATGCAGGCTCATGCTTCTTTGTTGAATGACTTTGGTTTTTCTGAGCTGATTGAGGTGACGGCTGATGGCCAAGCTGGGGGCATGGTGATACTTTGGGACCATACCAAAGTGAACGTTCACAACGTTGTGCGTAGGAACCATGAAATCATGCAACAATTGAGGTACGACCCACTAATTTTAAATGGTTATTCTCTTCTATATATGCTAGTACTAATGCTGCTATTAGAGATCAAATGTGGAAAAATTTAGAAAATATAACGGACAGTCACAATGGCCCATGGCTAATAGGTGGTGATATTAATGATGTGTTTACTGCTAATGATAAAATAGGAGGTAGACCTCTTAATCGTAGACGTGACTTTAAGCTTTGGAATAGTTTAAATTACTATAATTTACAAGATTTAGGTTACAAAGATTGTAAGTATACTTGGTCTAATCGTAGATTTACTAATAATAGCCTTATCATGGAACGCCTAGACAAAGTTTTTGGTAATAATCAATTGATCCAGATTTTTTCAAATGCTTCTATAACTCATCTGCCTAAGACTCACTCCGACCATAATCCATTACTCATTAATCTCATTCCAAGACTGTATCATTCATTGGGCAAGCCATTCCGGTTGGAACCATTTTGGTGTAACCACCCTCATTTCAAAACCATTGTCAATAACACTTGGTGTAACAATTCATATAACCAAGCAGTGTCCACTTTTAAAGATACTGTCACCATTTGGAAAAATAATATATTTGGGGACATTTTTAAAAATAAAAGGCGTATCCTAGCACGGCTTAACGGTATTCAAAATTCATCTTCCCACCATTATAGTACATTCCTCCAATCTTTGGAATCCTCGCTAATACAAGACTATAATAATATTCTTAGAATTGAAGAGGATTACTGGAAGCTTCGCTCTAGAATCCAATGGCTAAATGAGGGTGATGCAAATACTAAATTCTACCATATCATGGCCACTAACAGAAAAAGAATCAATAAAATTATTTTCTTCAAAAACGACCATGGTATATGGATTGATAACCCTGAGGAAATTATTAACCATACAAAAGACTACTATGAAAAAACTTTCACAACCTCTCACAAATTTAGTAATTGGAGACATATTAAGGATGACCCTAATTGTTTTATCAATCTAGATTTAACCTCATTACTAACTCTAAAATCATAAAAGCCTATTTTTCGTTTAAGCCTTATAAGGTACCTGGGCCGGATGGAAATCACCCCTTTTTCTTCCAAAAATATTGGAATATTGTTGGCAATTCAGTTACAAACCTATGCAAAGATGTATTCAATACTGGTACTATCCCTGAGAATATTAATGATACTTTACTTTGCCTAATTCCTAAGATTTCTAATGCCAATAATTTAAAAAACTTTAGACCTATAGGCTTATGCAATAATATTTATAAAATTATCACTAAGATCATTACTAATAGGTTAAAACCCTTTTTGAATACGATTATTAGCCTATATCAAACTAGCTTCCTAACAAATAGGAAAGCATGTGACAGTGCTATTATTATTCAAGAACTAATTCTCAAAATGAACAAGTATCGTGGTAAGAAGCATAGCATGATTTTAAAAATTGACCTGGAAAAGGCATTCGATCGCCTAGAATGGTCCTTTGTCTATAGAGCCTTGAGATTTTCAAATTTCCCCCGAATGTTGCAAAGCTTATAATGAACTGTATCTCATCTAGCAGAATAACCATACTGGTTAATGGCACTAGAACTAGTTATTTCACTCCGAGCAGAGGCATTAGACAAAGCGACCCTATGTCCCCCTATTTGTTTATACTCTGCATGGAGATGCTTTCCACCCTAATTAATCATAAAGTTTATCTAGGTTGTCGGGATCCTATTACCCTAGGCAGTAATAAGCATCAAATATCTCATCTCTTTTTTGCGGATGACCTAACCTTAATGGCACAGGTTAATAAAAAATCTATAAGGGCCATCAAAGATTGTCTAGACTCCTTCTGTTACCTGTCAGGGCAATCCATTAACAGGACAAAGTCCAAAACAATCACCTCTAGATGCTGCCCTAAAATTACTGAAACTAACCTCTCACGATTCCTTAATATTAAGATTAGTAAATCTTTCGGGAAATACTTAGGTTTTCCTATTACTAACTCTAACCTAGAGCAAAGGACTTCCAATTTGTCCTTGATAATATGATTTCAAGATTGACTACTTGGAAATCCAATTGCCTTAACATGGCAGGTAGATGTACTTTGACCACCTCTTGTTTAAACTCCCTTCCTAATCACATAATGCAGTACACCCTTTTACCTTCTAAGATCCTTAGTAAAATATATAAGATTCAACGAGATTTTATATGGGGTACTAATGCCACCTCGAAGAAACTTCACCTTATAAAATGGGATATTATCACCAAGAACAAGAAGGTGGGTGGGCTAGGTTTACAAGCAGCCAAAAATAAAAACCTAGTAAACCTTGCTAGTCTCTCTTGAAAACTCCTTAATAACACTCAATCACCCTGGGCCAAAACGATTTTAGGCCTCTATAGTACTAGGAAAACGACCAAAAACTTTTTCTTTATCTGGAATAGTATAATGCTAGGCTGGGAAGTCTGTAGCAAAGGGATTATTTGGTTGCCTCACAAGTCTTCAAACTTAAGAGTGTGGAACAGTTGTTGGATCCCTCAAACTCCTCCCCTAGGTCATTGTATACATGGTCCTCTAACTCAATTAAATGATATCCTAACTATAAAAGATATCTGGAAGAATAACACTTGGGAGTTATCAAAGCTTTCAATGATACTTGAACCGGGCCGTACTAATAAAATAAAGGCCACAAATCCTACTACTAAAACTTGTGATACACCTGTATGGTCCTTAAACACTAATGGTCTTTTCACTAGTAAATCATGCTACTCCCTATTAGACAACCACACTAAGTATGACAAAGACTTTTCGTGGATTTGGGAGATGAACTGCCCCAACAAGTTAAAATTTTATTATGGAAATGCTTCCATGATAGACTCCCAACAAGAAGTTTTTTTACACCATATTGGCATAAACATTGATCCAATATGTTCCTTTTGCAAAACTCATAGGGAAACTATTAGGCATATTTTTTTGGAATGCATGCCAGTAAATCAGTTGTGGTCTCTATTAGGGGTCGATACAAAAAGTTGGAATGGTGTTAATAGCTGGTTGACACATATACGTGACCATAACATTACACTAAGAAATGGTACTATTAGTTGGCAAGATTTTTTTCCCTTTGTTAATGTGGACCATTTGGATTAACAGAAATAATAATTTATATAACAACTACACACACATGGCTGGCCTCCACATTGCTATTAATCTAACAGTAGAATATAAACTTCTAACGGAAAAGGATACTGTTACAAAGGAAAAAATTCCAATAAGCATTAAGTGGAGTAAATCGCCAAGCGGTCATATAAAGCTTAATATTGATGGTTCTTTCAAAGAAGCCCCATCTCTTTGTGGATTTGGCGGAGTCTTCAGAGACAGTAAGGGACAATGGATACTTGGCTTTCATGGGACCCGTCTAGGAACAACACCTCTTCAGGCAGAATTAATGGTCTTGAAAACGGGCCTACACATTGCCAAGAGACAAGGGTTCACAAACTTAGAAGTGGAAACTGACTCAACCGATGTTATTACTTGTTTGGATAATAGAATGGTAATACTAAGCGACATTATTCATGAGTGCAGGTTGTAAATGAGACAGGTGAAGGTTCAAGAAATACAACACACTTTCAGGGAGGCCAACAAGCCGGCATACATGATGGCTAAGGAGGCACTGAGTAGCAACAATGGAAGGGATCTCAATATTATCTACTATGCCCCTCATTTTGTAACCAATGTTTTAAAACAAGACTATGAAGGCTTGACTTATGGAGTTAAGCATGTTAATAAAAATGCATGCTCTAGACTACTATCTTTTGGAAACAAAAATGTCCTTAGAGACATGTTATCAGACTGTAATAGCCAAGTAGGAAATGCCTTATCGGGCACTATAAACATTGTTAACTCTGCTATTATGTGATATATATGATAAGATCCCTGTTACTCAAAAAAAGTTAGTCTAAAATAAATGCCACAAAACTAAGAAGACATTAATTTTATTTTCTTTTCAAATTTA